ATTACAGTAATTTTATTTAATTAGAGTTGGCCTGAGCCGCCAGGAGACAGTTCAGGTCGTTTGAAAGTTTATTAGGCGGGTCCGAGAGAGAGAGTTTCTCGGCCTGCGGACACGATAGCGAGAGGGGGGTGGGGCTGCATAAGAAGCTGCCTCACGAATTAAATGGTTTGGGTGCGACTCTGAGGCTTTGAAGAAGTTCTCAGAGAGTTTTTTAAAAAATTGTTGAATTGTTGGGAGCTCTAAGTCCCGGTGGAGGTCGGCATTACGGACGTACCACGGTGTGTTCGCAGCTCGACGACAGAAGAGGTTCTGAACTATTTGGAGTTCATTTAAAATGTTAGTTTGCGTGGGCAAAGACGGGGCCCGCGTAGGACATGACTGGTCGTATACAGACCTTGTAAAGGGTACGCTTGTTTCGAAGGGACATTTTACTGTGTCGGCCCAACATACTGTTGATCCTACTCAGATAAAACCTTGCGTAACGGGTTACTCTTTTGACGTGGGGCTTGAATGTGAGCCCTGTGTCTAGAGTGACACCTAAATATTTGGCGGACGTATGCCAGGGGACAGGGGTCCCTAGCATAGCCCTTTATTGGCCGATTGTTCGGCTTTTATACTTTTTTAGAGAGCTCCGCGCTCGACGGCGGATTTGTGAAAAGAACGGGAAATTATTTAAATTAAAAGAAAATTTTTGTAAATGGCCAAGAAGAAAAGAGTATTTTTGTGGAAGTTTTGAAGTAAAAACATCAGACCGGTAACGAATTTAAATAAAAATTCCCATCACAACCAGATAAAAAACGATGTCAAAACATGTCGAATTTTGGTTTCAGGCTCGTAATAGAGAAACGGCAAGATTTAAGTGAAAAATGAGATATTATTGATATAGAAAAAAGGTAGCACAACAGCGCACACGAAGCCTGAAATTGCAGAGTTACGGAGAACTAAATAAAAGATCGAAAAAAGGTAGACTCCACTGACACCGATTTAAAAAGTGCTGATAGCAGGAAAATACGAAGTGAAAATGATTTGTTATTGTGTTTTTATGGTTTAAAAAACGTTACAGGATCCTATGAAAATAAAGTTGATGCAAAATATCCAGTTTTGAGGTGAATGCAGAAAATCAAAAACAGAATGGAAAAATAAATTTAAAATAGTGTAAAATGATATGTAAGTAGCATAACATTACATTTTCCCCCCGACCCTGGAAAATTTTTGACTCAGCAAAAATTTTGATATGTACATTCTAAAATAAACCATAAAAACACAGCTTTGCAGAAACAGACATCACCAGGCAAAATCAGATATACTATCTCTTACATTCATCATCTGCATTCAAGTAAGGGTGGAGTTCACATTCAATGACAACCACTCTAAAAGTGTGTTTTCGAAAGGACATTCAGGCTTATTTATGGAGTTGTCATCCGCTCCTGCGTGGAAAAAAATTATTAAGGGAGTAGTCAGCCACTCCCAAGTGAAGATACAGGTAAGGAAATCAATCTTAAGCAAGCTTTAGTCGCTATGACTTAAGTAAAGATTAAGAACGGCCAGAGCCTTAGGGCTCAAAGCCAGAGATCAGCAATATCACTAACGAGATGTGCCTGAAATAAAAATAAAAAGTGAAGATTAACCAACGAAAATTCGAGTTCCTAAAGCAAGATGTGTTGAAGAACACTGGATCACCAAACAAACAAACAAATTAAAAAAAATAAAAATAATAAGGTGAGAATGATGGTGATATTTATACATATATAAAAATTAACAGTTAACCTTTCCCTTACTGCGCCCGCCATAACAAAAAACAGCTTTGTACGGCGGCCTCTGTCATCACCTCAGCTGGCGGCACTTGTTTTAAATATTTATGTTTCTCACGACCTTTCATTTATGTTTAAATAGGTTAGTTACAGTTATTTAAAGCCGATAAGATTTTCGATAAGTCGAAACAATAACCATAACATTTAAATGTTTATTTTATTATGTACAGCTCTTTGTTTCTAACAGAACTTGATAAAGCGTACTTACTGACAATAAATTTTGTTTTATGAATGAAATATCGTAAGTTTTTATTTTATTTTTATGTTCTTACAATCAATATAACATATTCTTCCTAAATGAATCAAAATTATGCATGTAATAATTATAATAATTCTACTTTTTCACTTGCAAACATTTGCTAAAAAATTCGACAATAGACAGTTTGCGCGCGCTTTGTAACCTCATTTCAAAACCTTTTTGTGTATATATTATAGCGTCTTCCTTTATTTTTCTTATACAGTCATATAGATATAACATTTGGCAATCATATAATATCCTTATGAATATATATACATGCAATAAACTATTTATAAAAAGGCTCAATGTCTCAGAAGGTACATAATTCATTACAAACAAATAAGGTTTAGTTTCAATGAAATTTGTGTATGATGATCGATTTTCATCGCTCAAATAATTCTTATTTCAATTAGAAGATGAAATTCTGATTTCAATGACGTAAATTACAACTGCACTTATCTTACAAAAAATTATAGCAAAACGTTTACAAAGTTTATGTTTTTGTCATATGCGTCGCTCTATTACATGTTAGCACGCTTGTGTAATACACGGTTCTTTGTTTATATAGATAGGTATATAATCAAAGACGGTTGTATACAACGTGTTCTATTTTTGCACGGAGTTATTAGATTTTTAGTGCAAAGTAAGTGTGAGTGTTTCTATGGTGTCTCTAATATGTTGAGGTTTTTCGAATGTTTTTAGAAGATATGCAGTTTTAGTATGTTATGATAAAATGGTAGATAAATAATAAAACTGTCTAGAAAAATCTACATCTATTATGATATAAAGAATTTGATTATAAAAGGTAATCTCATAATTCTGTGACTAAATAGAAATACATATATATTAGGCATACAAAAAAGTGACAAAATGCAAGTTGTATAGGGTAAAAATTAAAGTTACTTAAGTTTTGAAAGTATATTTTTATTTTTCACTACTACAAATAAAAAGTTATAATTAAATAATATATATATTTTTATTTATTTATTTGGTTAACCAACAAATGTTACATTATTAATACATATGCTTAATTCTAAGACAGTTATATAAACTAAGTGCACATTCAATAATAGGTAAACACCGCATGCTTAGTGCTCACAGCATTTCTTACAAGTCGTTACCAAATAGCTAAAAAAATACCTTACAAACTTAAAATAAAAAATAAAACAAAATTATTAAATTAATACAAAACAAAAAAATTGCTTATAACAAACATTAATTTTTCAGTAACTTTGTGCCGAAAAACGTTAAAAGAGGCGTGGTGAATATCTACTACATTATTATAGGTATTTAAAAGTCTGCAAAGTCTAGGAATTAAATCCTAGCACATTTCTACGAAGAGGCGGCGAGAGAGGAGGAGATCAATTTACGAGGATATCTACTTGGGATAAGTAAAGTAAAAAGTAAAGTTACAGACTATATACGTCCCACTGCTGAGCACAGGCCTCCCCCGTCATTTCTGAAAGTGTTTTAGCCTTCACTGCCTTAATGCGTGTTGGCGAACTTTACATGTCTTCGAAATATTTTTTTTTCTTATATCTCAGACATGCAGGTTTCCTCACGATGTTTTCCTTCACCGCCGAGCACTTGGTAAATCAGCACTTAAAATTGCAATTAACAATTTCATTGCTGCCGGCGGGGATCGAACCCGGTTTGATCGCGTACTGTGAAATTTACAGTGAATGCTCTAACCATCTGAGCTACTATGGCTCTCTACTTGGATCTACTTGGGATACGAAAATTAAAGTTACGTAGTAATAAAGTGCAATTTAAGTTATTTCTGAATATTTTATATCAAAGTTGCAAATCTAGAATGTCCCGGCGTTTTGACAGTGAAACCATTTTGAATGTCTTTAATCTGTCTACATATGATGCATTTTTATATGCTTTTCGTGTTGAAAAGGCAAAATGCCATAAAAATCTTTTCTGTATGCGCTCAAGGCGAAGGTTATGGGTAGAATAATAGGAACGCCAGACTGTGCTACAATATTCTAATATACTTATAACAATTGAGAAGTATAATAGTTTTTTTTTTTTTGTATAAAATACTTTACTATTTTTTATAATAAAACCTAATGACTGAGATGATATTTTAATTACACTTTTTAGTTGTGGTATAAATGTAAGCTTTTTATCGAATACTACACCTAGGTCCTTAACAGTCTCCACTTCTTGGGTAACTACACTATTGAGGGTATAAACTGATGGGAAAAAAATATTTTTGCGCGTGAATTTAATATGTACACATTTTTTTTTTCACAATTACAAATAAGAAATAATCACAGAACATTATTATATTATACAATTTACATTACAATTTATAATTTGCATTATTTATATACCGGTGAAGGACCACGTCTAAGTTCCATAGGTCATCACTGGCAACACACACTGGTTGTATAGTCTCATTTTCAAGTTTTGAGGTATAGATGGAGTGACGACCTGGTAAGAAATGCAGGAAATCTATGGACGTGCTTTGTGGCATTCCTTGGGGAGGTCTATGTTCAGCGGTGGACTTGTGAAGGGCTGTAATGATGATGATAACGATGATGATATATCGGGTGACGGGTCGCTCACTTCTCTCTAATATAAATATAATCAATATATATTCTTTATTGTACACCAATAGACATTAGAACGAGACAAAATGAAATAAATATATACAAAGTATAATAGGCGGTCTTATCGCTCTGGAAGCGATTTATTCCAGACAACCCTTATTTAGCAAAAAACTTACAGTGAATTGCTAATAGGGAAGGTGCACAAGTGTTATATATTTATATATATTAGAGAGAAGTGAGCGACCCGTCACCCGATGGTACTCATGCACGACACTCAACAATCACACAGTTCTATCACTCTTCCGTGTAAATATGTATAGAGAAACAACATCCTGCAATGTAAAAATTTCGTATTAGTATTTTAGTCTCTAGTAGAAAGTTGTTTCTCAGTTACAAATTTTCCACGGTGTGGTAGTCCTCCCAACATTTCCCTAAACATAACGGGACTTGGCACAATTTGCACATAACTATGACCACAACCCGTTTTTTTAGAGCAGTGCACCGAACACAACGCAATTGCTTGCGATTCTTTTTTCCCGGCCTCGAATCAGCTTCCGTATAAATAGGGAAGTGATTCCCCGGTTCCAAACGAAGAACAAGCCGTTGCAGTTGATTCGGTACTCTGGGTGGCACCGAGGAAACGCGTGGGTATCGGCTCAATAGCCCTTCGGCGACCTTCAGCCTAAACTGGCGGTGAGAATACATGCGATACATGGGGTTCCGCAAATAAATAATGAAAGCGTTTAAAAGACTGGTGTTTAACAGCATTTTAAACACTTTCATGTACCATTTCCGGTTTCTTTTCCGTTCTAACAAGAACATAGACAACTTTTGATCTTTCAAGTCTACGCCTCCCATGTATCGGTTGTACTCCTGAACCACTGTTGGCTTCAGGACCACCTGTCCAGCACGTCTTCCCGGTACCATCTCATGTTGGTGGTAGGTAGACAAAACGGTGACAAGTTTGACGTCTTTCCACGCCACCAACGCGATGTCACCGCAATGTCTACCTACAGACACCCCACGCTCCAGCTGCTTCGGGTTCAAATACTTTATAGCATGTGGTATCCCCTTTCGCCGGCGGCTTATCGTGCCCAATACATCTGTACACCGGCTTTTAAGATATCTCGTTAAGAGCAATTGGTTATACCAATTGTCCATAACGAGAACATGCCCTGTATCCAGGTACCCCTCCATGAGCTGTAAGACAACCTTCGCGGTTTTGTCATTAAAGCCATGTAAGGGTCCGGGATACATGGCAGTATTTTTTGCCTGTGAACAGCCGGTATTGGAGCAAGTAGCCGGTTTCAGCCTCACAAAGCTCAAAGGATTTGATTCCGAAGCGAGCAGCTTAGGTCCATATACACTGCCTCCAGCTTAAACGACCCTTCCATAAAAGCAAGGACTCGTCTAAGCTGAGGTATTGAGACGGTGTATACATTTCTACAAACTTTCGGTTGCAGTGGTCCACTACCGGCGCAATTTTTTCCACTTTGCGTTCATATCCCCTACTTACCAAATTTTCATTACTCACAAAGTGCAAAAATTTGGTAAGTAGCAGGAATCTAGTCCGCGACATAATTTTGCGGAATGAAGGCATTTCCAAGATCCCCGTGTCCCAGTACTCGTGAATTTTGGAACGATAGCAAAAAGATAAATAAATTAGCACGGCAAAATATCTATACAGCTCTTCAACCGTGGTATCGGTCCAGGAATCCAAGTAATTTGGAATCCTACCACCAATATCAGGGTCGGAGAGCTGAGAGATTATTTCACATGCATATTCATTTAATCTCTCTGACAATGGTCTCCATAAATTCACGATCCCAGATCTTACATGAGATAGCGGTGGGATCTTGGGAAGAAAAAGTTGGGCCGGGCACGCGCAAATACGTTTCCTTCTGAGCCGTAAAAGATGTAAAATCTTCCGACCAGAAGAAAGTCGTATCGACAGGTGCAGCTGCTCCAGAGCTCCCTGTCATTCCTTCCATTTCTCTCCTTCCATTCGCATTCTTTATTCTTTCATTCTCTGGGGTTAACTGTTAATTTTTATATATGTATAAATATCACCATCATTCTCACCTTATTATCTTTCTTTTTATTTGTTTGTTTGTTTGGTGATCCAGTGTTCTTCAACACATCTTGCTTTAGGACCTCGAATTTTCGTTGGTTAATCTTCACTTTTTATTTTTATTTCTGACATATCTCGTTAGTGATGTTGCTGATCTCTGGCTTTGAGCCCTAAGGCTCTGGCCGTTCTTAATCTTTACTTAAGTCATAGCGACTAAAGCTTGCTTAAGATTGATTTCCTTACCTGTATCTTCACTTGGGAGTGGCTGACTACTCCCTTAATAATTTTTTTTCCACGCAGGAGCGGATGACAACTCCATAAATAAGCCTGAATGTCCTTTCGAAAACACACTTTTAGAGTGGTTGTCATTGAATGTGAACTTCACCCTTACTTGAATGCAGATGATGAATGTAAGAGATAGTATATCTGATTTTGCCTGGTGATGTCTGTTTCTGCAAAGCTGTGTTTTTATGGTTTATTTTAGAATGTACATATCAAAATTTTTGCTGAGTCAAAAATTTTCCAGGGTCGGGGGGAAGATGTAATGTTATGCTACTTACATATCATTTTACACTATTTTAAATTTATTTTTCCATTCTGTTTTTGATTTTCTGCATTCACCTCAAAACTGGATATTTTGCATCACCTTTATTTCCATAGGATCTTGTAACGTTTTTTAAACCATAAAAACACAATAACAAATCATTTTCACTTCGTATTTTCCTGCTATCAGCACTTTTTAAATCGGTGTCAGTGGAGTCTACCTTTTTCGATCTTTTATTTAGTTCTCCGTAACTCTGCAATTTCGGGCTTCGTGCGCGCTGTTGTGCTACCTTTTTTCCTATATCAATAATATCTCATTTTTTCACTTAAATCTTGCCGTTTCTCTATTACGAGCCTGAAACCAAAATTTCACATGTTTTGACATCGTTGTTTATCTGGTTGTGATGGCAATTTTTATTCAAATTCGTTACTGGTCTGATGTTTTTACTTCAAAACTTCCACAAAAATACTCTTTTCTTCTTGGCCATTTACAAAAATTTGCTTTTAATTTAAATAATTTCCCGTTCTTTTTGCAAATCCGTCGTCAAGCGCGGAGCTCTCTAAAAAAGTATAAAAGCCGAACAATCGGCCAATAAAGTCAGTCTCGCTTCAGCTTTCAAACCAGAAGCATCTCCTAAAGGCCTTATCCCGGGACCGCACTGCCCCGGGATCCTGCAAGCCTCTGCCTTCATCTGAAGTCGTCGTCTAGCCACGCCTACGCCTCCACCTACTAGTGCCCGCGCTATCTTTAGCCGCTGTGCGTGCTTGCTTCAAGCACTGCGTGTGCCTACTCCGGGCGCTGCGTGTGCCTACTCCGGGCGCTGTGTGTGCCTACTCCGAGCGCTGTGTTTGTCTACTTCAAGCGCTGCGTGTACCTGCTCCAGACGCTGCGTGTACCTACTCCAGACGCTGCGCGTGCCTACTCCGGGCGCTGTGTGTGCCTAGTCCGGGCGCGGTGTGTGCCTACTTCAAGCGCTGCATGTGCCTACTCCAGACGCTGCGTGTGCCTAGATCAGGAGCTGCGCACCTACCACAGGCATAGACTGTGCATACTCCGTGAGCGGTGAGCACCACTGCCAAGCGCAGTGTGTCATCTTGGTCTTCGGGCTCCGTTTCAGTACTCATTTATCTTTGTTATTTTTTTAAATAATTGTAATTCACGTCACCCATCATCATCTTCATATTTTTTTTATATAAAAAAACTGTAAATATATTTTAAAATTTTAAATACATTATTCGTTTTTTTGTTGTTCCGTTGTTGTTAGGTTAGGTTCTTTTGTTTTTAATTGTCGCTTTACGACAAAACTTTATAACAAACTTGCCAGCAACTACAAGCACTACAACGCTACGCTACTATTGGACATCTATTAAGAAAACAATCATCTAAAAATAACACACTTACTACTAAATTATCACTACTCAGGAGCTAAAATACATACCTTTGACACTGGTCTCTTAATTTTAGCATTCTTACATCTAAGAGTAACTACTCTAGTTATATGGTCTGGACCAGGGTGCTTCTCTTCAATTATACCTAATAACCATTTGGATGGAGGGAGATTATCTTCCTTAACCAAAACAACATCACCACACTTAGGTTCCTGCGTGACTTTATTCCACTTATATCTTTGACACAACGTAGTCAAATATTCTTGCGACCATTTTCGCCAGAAGTGCTGCACAAGCTTCTGTGTGAGCTGCCATCTGCGTAAACTGCCTACATTATTTTCTTCAAAATTGTAATCTGGTGCAGTAACTAAAGATTCACCAACCATAAAGTGACCGGGTGTCATGGGAATGGGGTCACCGTAACTAGAAGGGATCTGATACAAAAGCCTAGAATTCAAGCATGCTTCGACTTGCGTCAGAACCTTTGACAGTTCTTCATATGTGAGTGTCGTTCCGTCTAGTACACGACGCAAGTAAAACTTTGTTGACTTCACCCCAGTCTTCCACAAACCTCCAAAGTTTGGAGAGTGAGGAGGGATGAAGGAACACTTACCTTTGTTTGCCAGACACTCTGGAATTTCATCGGCAATATTCAAATTCTCAGCTTGAATTAGCCTTTGCAGCTCCCTTGATGCTCCAATAAAATGTGTGCCATTATCGCTGAACACCTCTAGACAGTGACCACGGCGCGCTACAAAACGCTTGAAGGCTGAAAGGAAACCTTCTGTCGTCAAGTCACTGACGGCCTCTAAATGAATGGCTCGCGTCGCCAGATAAAAAGTGCAATGTAACCTTTATAGCATCGACAACCTCTGCCCTTGGAAATCCTAACACTTAATAGGGCCAGCATAATCAATACCACAGCGGTAAAATGGACAACTTACTGTTACTGTAGCTTTGGGTAAGTCTCCCATAAAAGGCTGTTGGGAAGCAGTTCGTTGATACTTAATACATTTTCCACATTTTCCGGCATAATCTTTAATTAGATTCTTTACCTTTAAAATCCAGTACTTGGATTTGATATAGTTCAGGATCAATGTAAGCCCCCCCCCCCCATGGAGAGTTTTTTCATGTGCTTCTGCTACAATTATACGTGACAGATAATGGTCATACGGCAAAATGATTAGATGTTTGACATCATACTCCTCATTGCTATTCTGTATACGTCCCCGAACTCGTAATATATCGTTTGCGTCTATAAAAGGGCATAGCGAGCGTAATTTACTTCCTCTAGCTACATCTGTTAACTTCCTTAGACGACTGATCTCATCCGAAAATGCCGATTATTGACAATGTCTCAAGCAGAGCTTCATCGATTCGTGTAACTCATCTACTGAAAAACTTCATCGATTCGTGTAACTCATCTACTGAAAAAGATTGTCGCGCTAGCGAGCGAGAAGACGTAAATAGTGTACCTCTGTGTTCGAAAAATCATACTACTGTTAAAAGTGACGTTTACCAAAAACTTTATTGGAAAAAAGTGCCTTAACACCATCTAGTTTACTGTGTACAATATAATATTCTCAAATTATTAAGTGTTTGACCATAAAAACGTTAAAAAAGTGTTCATTGCAAACCCGGTTTATCCAATATCACCCGCACCCGGAAAAAGTTAGAAGTGTTCTATTCGTGTGTGTTGTTAGCCAACCCACATTATAGCTAACTATTCAAAAATCATTCATCGACAGTTGTTTGCGATTATTAAATTCGCCCACTTACGTGTAAGCTTAGTTGGCGCAGCGGTTTTAGTAGCTGCGCCCTTGCTACGCATACGAAGGCCCTGGTTCTAATCCACACAGGGGACGGAACTAATCTTATCGTTGTATCGGAAAAATATTTTTATTTATTTAGTATAAAAAAGAGAAAAAAAATAATAACTATATAAGCAAAATGAGTACGCAAAGAACACCGCCGTGTACAACATCTCAAAAAATTGAAAGTGACAGTGACGGGGGCCACCACACATCAGCGCCTGCTTCAAATAACGTAGAAAAAAGGCCTAGCAAACGCCCAGCCGTCTAATCTCCTCCAATTGGGAATTTACGGGAAGGCGCGGACGATGCTACAAACACAGCAATTAACAAGGAGCTTAAAGCATCCAAAAAATCAATACAGGAGTTACAAATAAATAGTGATAAACTTCATCCCACAATAAACGATATAAATTTTCGTACAAACCAAATAAAACAAGCAG